ATAGTTCATGTGTTTCCATTCGTTTGGCTATTTGTCCCTGTGCTTTATCCAACCTTGGTTTCAACAATTCTCACTCATATAAACCCTCTTCTTTCTCGATAATTAGACTCCCAGCGTTCCACCTGGGGCCTAGTCGTGGATGTCTGCATCCAGATTCCTCAGTCCTTGGATGGGGTTTCTGGCACAACTATTAGGGTGTTTGGCCATCCCATCACCAGAGTAGGTCAGTCCCAGCTGTCTCTTGGCCATTGCCAGCAGTCTTTTGTGGGGGTATCTTTGTGGATTTCTGTGGGCCTCTGTAGCTCTTTGTTTCTTCCTTTTCTCATGCGGTCTTCATTTACCATGGTCTCCTATTCCTTGTTCTCCCTCTCTGTTCTTGATCCAGGTGGGATTCCTTTCTTCCTTTCTAACAGGCATTTAGTGTACACAGATACAGGCAGTCAAAGCAAAAATAAACAAGTAGAAGATGCAAATCAGGCTAAGATGCTTTTCTTCACAGCAAAGGACACACTCAACAGAATGAAAAAGCAGCCCATGTATGGGAAGAAAACACCTGCAAAGCATTCCCCTGAAGATGGCACCCCCTAATAATCTAATTTAAAAAACAGGCAGTCTTCTTTCTTCCCCTCCCTTCAATCAAGCAAATAAAAAATGGTTAACAGCAAAAGAGGAGTTTGGCATCATTAACCATCAGAGAAACGCAAAATAAGCCATGAGATCTTACTTGCATACTTATTCAGGAAAAATACCTATCTGTATTTTCTTCCCAAATGTATAAACTCCAAGATGAAGTCACTCAGGAGATCAAATATTGCCTTTGTTCTCAGCAAAGCTAAAAAATAGTTTTCAGTTTTGTAGCAACAAGGGCTGGGTCATGCCTTATGTCCCTGAACAGGAAATGAAATCACTCCGTTACCAGCATGGCCATAGACCATGGGCGTCCACTGTGGGAAAACAAGGTCCAACTCCTTAGGGATAAACCTTTGACCTATGTATCCTCTTCTTGTAGTACCTTGGGTTCACTGCTTTAATAGTTTTGTTCCTGGAGGTGAGACTATCTTAATTTTTCAAACTTTTAGCAGGTAATTATGTTGGTGACAAGACATTTACATGCTTTCATATCTGTCACATACTATGAGAGTCAGATTCTATTCATGCCACAGTAAAAACTTTAGGAACAGAACAAAGACCAAGAGACCAGAACTGAGGTGGATAAAATGATATATAGTACTTATATACATGCAGGACTTTATATATTATATATATAAATTTATATAAGTACTATGTAAAATACATTTAATTATATTATACATATATATTTATATGTATGTATGTATGCATATATGTATGTATTGAAACAAGGTCTCTCTAGGTAGCCCTGGCTATCCTGGAACTCATAATGAAGACTAAGTTGGCCTCAAACTCAGAGATCTGCCTGCTTCAGTCTCAGATTAAATGTGTCACTATGTTTGGCGATAAATAGCTTCGTTAAATACTATTGTTTTGATAGGAGATAAGAAATACTGATGAAATCAGTATTTAATGAAATCACTTGTGCAAGGTCACAGAATCTTGATTTAACTCAAGGATTCCAAAGCCAAACCACTGAAACATGATTAACCTAGTTACATCAAAAGTTTAGGGTCTGCCTGCCAAGGGTCACATTGAAACTAATTACTGGAAGAGATGAGCTGTTTCCTAAACTCTCTGTCTTGTCTGAAAGTAGAAATAAACCTCCTAGTTCACAGGGCAACTGCAGAGGACACAAAACTTTCAGTCCATGACAACCCAGAGTAAGAACTCAGTAAACAGCAGTCTGTAGGTACTGGAAGTTCCCTTTTGCAGAGTTCTGCCCAGGACCCAGACGCCTTTTCCATCTCTATGGGGAGTGGAGGTGAGTTAATGCTGTTTTGAACGTTTTCATTAAGGACTGTAAGATGGAAAAGGAAGCAGTGGTTCTAGCCTTATTAACCTGTTTGGGTTAGTCCCTCCTATGTCCTCCTTTATGAAATGAAAGATAAACACTATTGTTGCAGAACAGTACTATGAGCTGTGTATTTCTTTTTTTTTTTTTTTTTTTTTTTTTGAGACAGGGTTTCTCTGTGTAGCTTTGCGCCTCTCCTGGAACTCACTTGGTAGCCCAGGCTGGCCTCAAACTCACAGAGACCTGGCTCTGCTTCCCAAGTGCTGGGATAAAAGGCATGCGTCACCACCGCCTGGCGAGCTGTGTATTTCTTTTGTTCTTTGTGTGGTTTTTTTGAGACAGGGTTTCTCTGTGTATCCCTGGCTGTCCTGGTACTCACTCTGTAGCCCAGGCTGTCCTCAAACTCAGAGAGACCCACCTGCCTCTGCCTCCAGAGTGCTGGGATCAAAGGTATGTGCCACCAGCTGGCTAGTTTCTATACACTGGCTAATCTCTAAATTCTGTCTCCCACCCCCACCCCCCAAACCATTTAACACATTATTAACACTGTCCAGCCTGAAACAGTACTGAGAGCTATGTGTTTCTAAGGAGTTTTAGAAAGAATTAAATCCTGAGAGAAACAAGTGAAGTCAATTTGCTGATTTTTAAATTTTTTTTTTATTTTACATGAAACTGATTGGTGTAATCCTGTGGAACCATCTTTAATTTAGAGAAAATTCTTTTTCAAAAGTAAACAAAAATCCTTTGAATTATTTATATATTAATTTGTCTAATTTTTTGAAAACAAAACTCAGTCAGCTTTATCCTATTTAACTATAAATGTTACACTTAGAAATTGAAACAAAAGATGGATAGTACAGAGACATAAATGAAACCTTTCAGTAAACTGTATTTTCAAAGGTGATTATTGAGCCCAGAGGAAAAGTTGTAAGCCACAAACTATGGTTTTTTTAATAGAACAAAAGAATATTTAAATTATGCAAAGCAGTATCTTAAAACAAAACTTCACCCAGTTGAAATTTTAGTATAAACTCTTGTATCAAGTTGCTTTCCATTATTTACTCTGCTTTAAAAATAAGACAATTATGATATTCAAACATGTATTGAGTCATATGACCAAACAAAAATATTTGGGAAATTCAAACTCCTGCAATAACTTATATAAGGATTATAGAAAAAAAGACAAGCTACAAATTACGTCAGAGAAAAAAGAAATCACACAGCATTTATGTGTGGGTATGTATGTTTTATATATTCACACCAGTTGGAACAGATAGCTGTCAAAATTTAGCCAGCTTTTGGAGATGAAACTAAATTCATACTATTTCTGACAATGGGTAACTGCTGATTTCAAGTTTGACTCATGGTTTCATTAAAAATGATTTATAGTAATAGTTCACTATCATGACATTTTTGAGAGGCACAGATTAAATGATTTATGCCAAACCTGGCAAAATCTATACCTGACTCCATTTAATTACAGTATCCAAAGAGCCCACCAGCAACCAGATATGTCGTTTTTACATGTGCCCATGCTTAGTAATCGCATTAACGTTGGTGCTTAAACCATTTACAGCTAAGTAGATGGGCCATTTAAAAAGCCGCAGGACAATTTCAATACAAGATCTCAAAAGGATAAGCTTGCAAAACCTTAAACTCTTCTTAATCTGTAAATGTTGTTTAAGGAGTAGTGATCTGGTCTTCAGGAATCCTAAAAGGTGGAAACACATTTATTCCTTTTATACCAGGACATCTGAAATTAGTAAGCAAGACAACTTGAATTCATTTTGCTCTTGCATGCGTATGTGTGCATATATATATATATATAGGTGTGTGCGTGCGTGTACATTTTAAGATGGCTTAGAATTAAGTCACCTCTAGTCAGTAATGGTTAAGTGACTAGAATGGCTAGTCAGTCGATATCCTGCGATGTCACATGTTAAAGTCTCCACAACACAGACTCATTTAGTTCTCATCACCTGTGGTGAGGAGGCATGGCTGAAAAGCAACTGCCATGGTTTTTTTTTTTTTAAACAGCAGAGAAGCCTGTTTATCTATACAATTTTCCATCATTATGTATTCTATTCTGAATACTTGGATCAAAATCTCATTTCAATCAGCTTAATCCACACAAGGTGTAAGACACCAACAGTACAAACCAATTCTACAGATTTTTAAATAGGAAACATTCACAGCGTTCTAAATTTTTAACTTTAGGGCTGCTAATCAAGAGACTGTAGAAACAAGACCAAAGTGAAGAGATAAAAATGAACTTCTCAGTGCATCACATCGTGAGGATAAAATGTATGGCACTTATGTGGTACTAGATCACAACTGTCGACTTAGGCTGGGAATGATTGACAAGAACTAGTTTACCAGAATGTTCAAACCACTCAGATCCCTCTTTTCTTTGTAAAAGCCTCAGAAATGCAATGTCACAGACAACTCGCTAAAACTGTTTCTATTTCATTTACCCACATTGTAGTGTCTCATCTTATTCTTTATCCTAACAGTTACAACTGTCTGATTTTTAAGGTCTATTATGCTATTTTTCTGAGTGGTGATAACACTTCTAAACAAATAACATTGCTAGTTATAAATCATAGAATGAGAAAAAAACAAACGAACCAAAAAACCTGTACATTTTTCAAACTAGCAAGAAATAAATTATATCATGATATATCAGTGAAAATTGTATCAATATTAACTAATAGTTCTATGGTAGATTATTTTCCCCCATAAAATTAAGCAGTGCAGAATAGGGCCTGGCTACAGTTAATCACATTTGGTTTTCTTAAAAACACAACTTTATTCACTATAAACAATTAAAAGGCAGTTTTCTTCCTCTGAAATACACAGACATTAAATCTAAGATTTTTTTAAAGTATCAACTACCTATTAAGAAAAGTACTTTGAAATGGTTAAAAGGAATCAGAATACCAAAGTTTAGTATATGAAGAGTAGATAGAAACCAAGAAAACATAGATCATTGCTGTTAGATATTTCATATGAATAGCTGCATTAAGGTCCAAAGTTTTTCCACCTTTACAAATAAAAAGGTGTCCTCTCCCCACGGGGATATGCACTGTACATCTCTCCCAACAAGTAGGGTTTTAGAATGTTGCCATGTTAAGTTCTTCAGTACCTAAAATTGGAGGACAGGACTATTACAGTGGCACTGGTGCATCTGAAAGCGTAGTTACGACCCAACACGAGTTGTGGTGGTTCTTTTATCCGAGAAGAAACTTTTCAGAAGAAACACCTGCCCTATGCTAACCACCAGAAGGATGAGGGCTTCGCCCACAGACCAATAGGCCACTCTTGTATTTAGATCCTCTGCTCGGCTTCGGCCTTGAGCCTCCCTCAGTCGGAAATGAGTCTGATAGTCGATGACGGACTTCAGAGCTTCATGAATGGAAACACAAGCAGATTCCATCTAAACAGAAATATTTTCAGTTAGTTTAGCATCTTTCATAGTTCTGTACCTAGCACATTTTTTCTGCTATATTTATCTCAATTTCTCACTGGTTTGACGTTGTTGTAGTGAACTGGCAATCATTTTTTCACTCATATCAGTTGATCTGGCAACGACACTCTTCTACTCATTCCCCTGGGACAACTACTGATACAGGTCTGTTCTCCACAAACCAGGATGCTGCAGTTAAGGTCAGTGGCTACTAAATTTCCAAAGAAGGTTCTTAAGAACTAGAAGAATGCAATAGTGGGTTAATAAGTTCACCAATAATGGGAGCAGAGGCCACAGCCAACATACTCTAAACCAAATATGAAAAGACCCCAAATGCAACTAATCAAGTTATCTGAAACTTTAAACAGGCATAAGCATTATCAACATCTTTAGCTATTTTGAATCTGATAGTGGTAAGAGAATGTCCTTTATCCTTAACATTTTTTTAGTGCTTTTTTTTTTTTTTATTATGTGTATCAATGTTTTGCATGCCCGTGTGCACCACCTACATGCCTGGTGCCAGAGGAGTCCAGAAGAGGGTACTGGATCCCCTGGAACTGGAGTTACAGACAGTTGTGAGCCACCACATAGGTGCTGGGAGCCAAACTTGGGTCCTCTGAAAAGCAACAAGTGCTCTTAACTGCTAAACCATCATTCCACTTCCACCTTTTAAAAGTTATCTCTTCGATAAAAACATCTCCATCAGGCCAAGAAATAAACCAATATGTATATGCCCAGTACATTCAAGTTTCAGTATCTCTGATAATTGGCTTGTGATCCTCCATTTGGATGGTACTTTACTTTTTGTATGATTGTTATCATCTGACTTAAAATGGTTATACATTTTAAAAAAATATAGCAGGGTTTAATATTCTACTGTTGAAAACCTAACCCTGAAGAAGAAATACATGATTCATTACTATTTTATCTCACAAACCATGTAGGAAAAACTTAAAGGACACATTTAACTTTGTCTTAAATGTAATTAAGGCACACAGACATTAGGAAATAGCCTAGTTAATAACATTATAATGCCAGGTATGCATGCCTGTAATATGAGTCCTGGGCGAGTTATGGCAAGATCCAAGTTCAAGCAGACAAACCTGGACTATGTGATGGGTTGCAGGCTAGCTTGGACTATAGAACAAGACATTTTGATAGGCAAGATAGGCAATTAATACGTGGGAGTATGACGTAAGAACAGTTATACTCGATGGACGTGGTAGCTCACACCTTCAATCCCAGCACTTAGGAGGCAGACATAGGCAGATTGCTGTTGAGTTCGAGGACAGCCTGGGCTACAAAGTGAGTTCCAGGACAGCCTATGCTGCACAGAGAAACGCTGCCTCAAAACAACCAAAAAAAGGGAACTGTTATAATGGAGAAAATTACTGTAATTAATAAAATTCACTCCTATAATTTTTGAGATGTAGGTTTAATTTTTTTAAGCCCTTAAAGTGAAAATTTTCACATCTATTCCAAGAATAAAACTGAGTCCTATATCAATATTTATTAATGTATGGGCTGATGCTGTGAATATGTGTTGCTCTGATTGGTTGATTGGCCAGTAGCCAGGCAGGAAGTACAGGCGGGGTAAGCAGAGAGGAGAATGCTGGGAAGAAGAATGGCTGAGTCAGGAGTCACCAGCCAGATACAGAGGAAGTAAGATGACAAGGCAGAACTGAGACAAGGTAACAAGCCACGTGGCTAAATGTAGATAAGAATTATGGGTTAATTTAAGTATAAGAGCTAGTCAGTAATAAGCCAGAGCTAATGGCTGAGCAGTTATAAATAATATTAAGCCTCTGTGTGATTATTTTACAAAAGGCTGTGGAACTGTGGGTGAGAGATTTGTCCCAATCGTGCGCCAGGCGGGACACAGGAAGACTTCCAACTACAGGCTGATCTTGTTTCATCTTTATTTCTATTTTTCTATGATTTAGAGCAATTCTTTTTTAAGATTTTTTTTTTCTGCATGTACATATGCCCACCATGGTGTTTTTTGCCCCAAGGCCAGAAGAGGGCATCAGATCCTGGGGAACTAGAGTTACTGATGGTTATGAGCCATCATCTGGATGCTGGGAACCAAACTTGAGTCCTCTACAGACCAGCAAGTGCTCTTAACTGATAAACCAACTCTCCACCCATATTTAAAGCCATTCCATGACACGGCAGCAACATTCCCCCACAGCTGAGAGAAAATGCTTTAGAGCACCGGAACTGCTTAGCCTTTCCACTTTCCTGTACAACTAAAGCTTCCATCTCAGTGGCTGCTGTGGTATGGACCCTCAGTGTCCCTTTGGGGCCACACGCTAAAGCACTGGCCACAAGCCTACAGCACTGATGGGAGGAGGTCTTTGGATGACACTGCTTATTGGAAAGGAGTTATGCCACAGGGGGCAGGGTCTTGAGGGGTACACTAGGATCCTGGGCCCCTCCTCTCTCTCTGCTGGTGTGAATGTGAGTAACCTTCCTCTACTGAGCATTCCCAGCCACGAGTCTTCTACTTCTCCACAGGCTAGCTGACCAGAGCAGGAAACCTCTGAACCATTAACAAAATAAACCTTCCCCCCTGCTAAGTTGATTCTCTTAAGCTCTCTGTCCCAGCAATGGAAACCGAGCTGTGAGTTCCCACCTAAGTCAACGCTTCTTCCTTTCTTTACACTTAGGGGGTTCATAAAATCTTTTATCCCTGGGTTTCATCACAGAAGTCTCAAGTTATCTTTCAAATGTCTAATCTGCAAGAATTTAGATTTTTAAATAGTCTCAAAATTCAATGTTCATTAAAGAGTAAACACATAATGTTAAATTATGTACTCCTCCCCCTTTTAATCAATGCTCATCTGCTCTTTTTATTTACCTGGGTAAGGGCACTGACTCGGTTCTCACTGGGAAACAAAGGTGGGTCTTCTCCAACTTGAAAATCAAAATACACTGTTTTGTGTGTGAAAGTAGAAAACTCATTGCTGAAGCAGAATTTGTATGTCCCATTTCTGGAGGCTGTGAAGGTGAAACTGTCATACTGTTTCTTCATCTCCTTGTATAAGACTTTACCATCAGGATCTTCCAATCGACAATCTACATCATAGTGACCACCAGTGATCACCTGTAAGAGAGTTCAGAGATTACTGCAGCAAACAAATTTGAAAAAAGATCAACCTAGTTTCTTGCTAAAATGACAATAAGGCTGTATACAGAGGTCTTCCTATCACAACTTCACACACCTTGATTTTCACCAGTGGATTAAACATGGCACTAAAATTTCAGTTCAACTAAAGCTTTATAGAAAGTGAAGAGGTTCCTTCCTAACAGCAGAGAGGAAATATAATCACACCAACCATTCAGACAACTGTACTTGTTGATATAGTTTAAAAAAAAAAAAAAAAAAAAAAGGCACCCCTAACAGGATTTCTCTGTAGCACTTGGCTGTCCTGAATCTCAGATCTGTAACCCAGGCTGTCCTCAAACTCACAAGATCTGCCTGACTGACTCCCAAGTGTTGGGATTAAAGGCTTTCACCACCATAGCCTGGCCAACTACAAATCTGTAATCCACCACAAATCTGTAATCCATAGGAGCTGGGGCTATGTGTGTGCTAGCACACATGGCCAGATAAAACATTTTGAAGCGACAATTTTAAAAAGCATTTAATAATCTAGGCATTTACCCTTCTCTCTAAATACCCTTTCTTCCAAGAGAATAATGCCTTCATTTTAATATATCTAGGTATTCCATACCTTACCACAGTACTCTGAATAAAACAAATGGAAAAAATCCAGAATGTATCACCAGCCATATTAGCATCAAAACTTAAAACAAGCAACCTGATTTTAGTTAATAGTACCTCCTCTAAATTTGAACCAGCAACCTTATTTTAATTAATAGTACCTCTTCTAAATCTGTCTGGTCACTTACAACTGGGATTGGCTATCATCTCAAACTCAGCTTTCACCACCTGTTCACATGATCACAACACTTTCTCTCTTTTTCTTTTTTCTTTTTTTTTTTTCCTGGTTTTTCGAGACAGGGTTTCTCTGTTTTGGTGCCTGTCCTGGATCTCATTCTGTAAAGCAGGCTGACCTCGAACTCACAGAGATCTGCCTGGCTCTGCCTTCCAAGTGCTGGGATTAAAGGCAGTTTTTTCTCCTTCTGTACTAATAATACTAACCTAGTCTAAGCTATTATCGCTTCTTAAAAAAATATTTTCCTTATTTTCAATTGTGTGTATAGGTGTGTCTGGGAGAGGGTATGTGCATATGAGTGCGGGTGCCTGCAGAGGCCAGAGGTGTTGGATCTCCCTGTAGCTCTAGTTACAGGTGTCCGAGCCACCTACCATTCAAGAGTTGCTGGAATTTTAAATAAGCCTATTAACAAAACCAGTAGACTGTGTTAGACTAAAGAAATCACACTGATGAAAAAAGTTTCTGTTTTACATTGTCCCAAAACTGGCACTCTTGTTTAATCGTTTTGTTTTGTGTAGCTTTGAGCTTTTCCTGGAACTCACTCTGTAGCCCAGGCTGGCCTCAAACTCACAGAGATCCGCCTGGCTCTGACTCCCAAGTGCTGGGATTAAAGGCGTGTGCCACCACCGCCTTAATCACTTTTTTTTTTTTTTTTACAACACCTTTGACAGATGGTATTTAAAAATCCTGCAGTAACCAAGAGTCCCGGTGTCACACAAAAACAAAAACAGAAACCCCAAACCCAAACCCTCAAAGACCCGAAAGGATTATGGAGTTATATAAAAACCCGATTTAACTGGAGTTGTGGATTACAGGAATACGGAGCTGGGCATTTGTGTGCTTTTAAAAAAAAAATCATTATTTCTTAAAGAAGAAAGTTATTTAATAGGGCTTAAATTCAATGAATGACACCGGAGAATGTCACAGCCACAGGAAGTGTTTCTGGAATTCACAAAGTAGTTTTTTTTCTCTCTAAGCTCCTAAAAAAAAGCCAAATGCCCTGCCTCCGCAACCGAGGCGACTCTTAGGTTAGCCAACCACAGTGGCTGGGGAGGGGGTGGGGACCCGTGGTACCTGGAACTCCAGGGTGCACTTGGTGCCCTGAGTGATGTCCTCGTAGAAGCATTGCTTGGCGTTGTCGGGCAGCTCGAAGGTGATCTCGGAAGCGCCGCTCGGGCCCGGCAGCAGCAGCAGTAGCATCAGCAGCGGC